TTTAGGGTTTAGGGTTTTGGATTTAATGTTCAAAATAGGGGCTAATTCCCAATACTATTCTATAGGGTTTCTTTTTGCATAGTATAGGGTTTAGGGTTCCTTTAGTGGACCGCCTGTCACCATGAACCCTAATGTAGGGGCCTAACTAATCACCAATACTATTTCGGGGGCTCTTTATTATGGTTATAGTACAATATGACTATTTTTGGGGGTTCCTTATCATAGCTAGAGTATAATGACTATTTGGGGGTTCCTTAGTATAATTATAGTATAATATGACTATTTTGGGGTTCCTTATTATAGCTAGAGTATAATGACTATTTGGGGGTTCCTTAGTATAATTATAGTATAATATGACTATTTTGGGGTTCCTCATTATAACTATAGTATAGTGACTGTTTGCGGGTTCCTTATTGTAATTATAGTATAATGGCCCCAAAACTCTATTCTAATTATTACGGCCCCTATATTAGCCAAGCCCATTGCTGCTCTGCCAGATGGATTCATGGAGACGGTCCATCAGAGCGTCATGGAGAAGCAGCGCCAGGAGGAGGAAGATGTAGAAATCTCAGAGATATCCACGGAGTCTCTTGTGCTGGCCTCTCTAACTTGTCTGACCTCAGGTCATGAAGGGCGGCTGAGCGCTGCCGAGCGGTCTCTTGGTTTGGCGGCAGCTTGACCTTGAAGCTCGAACCTGCACCGCCAAGACATAGAATCTAGAATTACGACCTGCGATCATGTGAAGTCAAGGCACGGGCTGCACGGAGTTTCACAGCGATATCCAAGAATTCAATCTGCAAGGTTGTACAGAGAGCACACTGAGGGTGCAAACAGAACTCCAACGCTCTAAAGGACGAGCATAGCAGGCAGCAGCCAGCAAGCCCGGTCAAAAGTCGTTGTTGAGTGTGCTGTGTGCTTGTTTCTTTCGGCTGTCGTGGCTTGCACAAAGGCAGAGACAGATTGGCCTTTGATTCGTTGCCGCACTGCTTCCACAGGACAGACGGTTAGTGGAGTACAATGTGAAGAGCCAGAGACTTGTACCTGTCGCTTCTGCTTGATTCTGACACAATTCGAAATCGTGGTATGTGCATAGCAAGCTTGACAAGGCTTGGAGTACACTGTGTGCTGAGGTTCCGAATTCGGTGGACTGCAGATTGTGCAGCCAGACACAGTTGTGGAGCAGGAGGCAGGGTGCCCCTAAATCCGAAACTCTTAAACCCTTTGTCTGTCCCAGGCTCGCCCAACTGGTTGCATGTGGTATCCATACAGTGGCGGCAAAGGCGACAACCAGAAGGCCAGGAAAAAGTACTGCCTCTCTACTGTCTTCATGCACGAGAACCCGGAACCCTAGACACTATCCCCAAAACTACTCGAGGTTCTTACCATGAACGACGAGTACAAGTTCAAGATCTGGAATACCGTCAACAGGCTCCGAGCCGACTGACTGTCGGTGTGGCTCTCTTGCCGTGGTGAGAAACCGTCCGAAGTTGAAGGTCCTGCCGCAAAACGGCTCTAGCGCCAACTTACGGTGGGCCCATCACAAGGCCGTTTACTTTTGTGTCCAGAGGGACATGCTTAAAAGCTGAACCCAAAGCCATATCGACGAAGGATGACGCCAGTGTACGCCGAAGCTGATGGCGAGGTCGCGGCGCGCACTAAGACAGCCTTCGATCCATCCACTTCGTTGGGGGTATGATCGACTGTGCTTGGGGAGTTGGCCAGGACCAGTTCATGCTCTATGCCACGCATGAGAAGGTACTGGGACTGGTTTGGGCCCCAAGGTTTTCACCCTAAACCCTACACCCCGGATTGTCTACTGACTGCTTGCAGAAGCCCCCCAAACCCCTACACCTTAAGCCCCAGACCCTAAACCCTAAACCCTAAACCCTAAACCCTACTTGAGAATGCAAGGCGACTCCCCCCTGCTCCCCGAGCTGAGGTGCAGCTGCCTCTAGACGGCAACCCCAACAAGGCTGGTTCTTGTGATCCGCTGTTTTCCGGTTTAGCGGTTTAGGGTTTAGGGGTTTCGGGTTTAGGGTTTAGGCCTGGGTTCAGGGTTTCAGAGTGCCTTCTTTGAGCGCGACTTTGCCTGCAGTGCATGGGCCTCATTGCCCACCCTGGGCAAATCGCGGCCATCTCCGTCGACTACCAGGCTCCCTTTACACGTTATTTTCTGCAGGGCACCGACAAAAAAGGAAAGCCCTTGATTTGCCTTCAAAGCTCCCTGATGCGAGGGCCAATATGCCTTTACCTGTGGTGGCAATGACCTCACTGCCGCCTGGTGACATTAAAGAGGAGCTTAATGTGTGAAGCAGTTCGAGTAGGACGCCAGTTTCAGCATCTCAGGTTAACCAATGGCTGATTGATCCACAGCCAGGTCTCACGGGCATATGGCAGGATTTTTGTTTGGGTTGGGGTTTCGGGTTTTTTAAATCTACACCCCCAATCTCTAAGCCCCTGCCCAAGCCTCCTAAACACCTAAACTTAAACCCCCCTAAACCCCAAACCCTAAACCAATAAAGCAACCCCCCCGCTGGTGCTAAATGCTAGGATTAGTACCTAAACCCTGAACCCTGAACCCTAAACCCCAAACCCTAAACCCTAAACCCTAAACCCTGGACCGCCTTGCAGTTGCAAACGCCAGCGTCATGGGCGGTTCCGGTATCGAGCCCTTTGTGAAGCTCCTGGACGGCGGAGAGGCGCGGAACCGGCTTTAGGGTTTAGGGTTTAGGGTTTAGGGTTAGGGTTGAGGGTTTAGAGTTTAGGGTTTAGGGTTTAGACCGGGGACCCCTAAACCCTAAACCCTAAACCCTGAACTTTAGAGTTTAGGATCTAGGGCTCCAGAGGGCTTCTTCTGACTTCGCAGGATGGCGCCTTCTTCTGCGACATGAAGGCCTCTCTTAAGCTCCCAACCCTCATGAAAGGCCCAGTAGTGAAGCGTTGTCGGTGAGGATTACTTCTACTACTCGCAGATCCGGTCACAAGACGAGAACACCACGAAGGCCTGCAACTGGCAGCAGCATGCAGGAATATGCATTACATCAAGGCAGATATTTCCATGTATTTCCCTCAGAGATCTCCACAGCTGTGCAGGCGCGAGCCTTGGATGGCATGATTCCAGTACAGGACACTCTCTTGGGGATCGCGAAAGCATTCAATGTGCAAGCAAGCCTGCCCACGTCACCTTCCAGAGCCAGCGGCTATCCTTTCACCTTCATGTTTGCTTGCCAGTCTCCACGATGGAGCTGTCGGTAACCATAATATGCCTTCACCCTCAACCCTAAACCCTAAACCCTAAACCCTTTTTATAAAGCCTTATGGGGACCCTTGAGGGTACCTATGCTCTTAAGAATCCTAAACCGTCCGTGCTTGAAAAAGCCGGGAGTCCCATCAGAGCTGTGAAGTACAGGAGATCCCGCACCTGATGTGTGCCCTGGGGTACTTCCCCACACAGCTGGAAATTACCAACATGACCAACGAGGCCGAGGGGGACGGTTTAGGGGTTTAGGGTTTAGGGTTTAGGGTTTAGGGATGAGATCATGATGGTAGGATCTGCAAGTCGAAGGCTCGTGAGCTGTCTGGATCTGAAGGTAAAGTATTCAAAGTTCGCGGAGACCGGCGAGTATGTCGAGAGGTGGCTGGTAGAGCAGAGGGGTTTTCTGCTTCCGAAACTTGGCCACAAAGAAGCGCCAGCCATGGCAGGATAGGATTTGACGACCTGGTGAAGCTCTACGCGACCTCCCGAGCATTCATGATGACACGCAGTCGTTCTTCCTGTCATGGCGATGATGAGCAGGATGCCGATGATGCCGCTTCTGATGACGATGTTGCTGATGATGCTTACTTTGGTGGTGATGACGATTTTGATGGTGGCCTTTATGACCATGACTGGAACCATGTCTTTAGACAAGTCCTCTCGCGGATCCCGAGGTGAACCACCGACCAGTCTTCGCCGTGGGCCCTGAACAGATTAGACAAGCCTTCGAGGCAGGTGGAGGGTATTGTAATACGTTTTACGGCGCCGGATGTGATGAAAGGTCATCCTCTTTTCCTGCCCTTTGTTGACGGTATTTCTTCTTAAAGCGGCTTGCAGTTCCTGTATTACTCTGCTACCGGTTCATGGCGGCCCCCCCCCCCCCGACCCCGGAATTTTCATGCACTTAAGTTCCCACCTTCTGCATCGTGTCGCACCAGCTCTTTTTTAGCAACACAGCTTTGGGACGTTCCCGGCTCCTAAACCCTAAACCCTGAACCCTAGACCCTGAACCCTGAACACTAAACCAGAAGCCCTAAACCCTGAACCCTGAACCCCAAACCCTAAGCTTGGACAGGCCACCAAGAGGCACGAGCCTGGACCTTTGTCGAGGGAAGGTTTCCTCAGTCTCCTCACCAGCTCGGATCTCAGCCTTGCCCGGACACATCCTTTTGCGTTATTATTATTTTTAATTTTTATACATTATCATTAATTATTCTTAATTGTTCTTCATTATTATTCATTATTACTCATTATTATTCATTATTATTAATTATTATTAATAACAATAAATTATTATTAGTTGTTATAAATTATTATTAATTATCATGAACTGTTATTAGTTATTATTATTTTTCTTATTAATTAATTAATATTATTATTATTATTATTAAATATTATTATTAATTATTATTATTAATTATTATTATTAATTATTATTATTATTAATTATTATTATTAATTATTATTACTAATTATTATTACTAATTATTATTACTAATTATTATTATTATTATTAATTATGATTATTATTAATTATTATCGTATTCTTATTATTCTGATGACTCTTATGATTCCTATTAGGGAACCCACGGAGCTGCCTGGTATGCTAAGCTTCGACCTCGTGCGATCGCCCGAGCTGCCCGCTGCCTTTAGGAGCTCAAGGGACCCTTGGTGTGCCGTTCGGATGAACACGGAGTGTGCAAGCAGGATTAGGGTTTAGGGTTTGGAGTTTAGGGTTAGAGTAGTTCTTTGGGATGCCAACATTGCAACAGTCACGGGACCGCGCTCGGCTCATGTTTTCCCTCAGTGACCTTCCGCGCCCCTGTGCATTCTGGATCCCTTGTGCCTTGGTTTTGATTGCAGGGTGTGCTGCTGCGCCCCTGTGCTCCAGGGCAGGTGAGAACTGCCAGGCAACCTCCTGCTGCGAAGAGCCCGGCCACCAGTGCTTCGTCAAGGACTCTTCATGGGCAGGATGTAAGCCTTCCTGCACGCCTGGCATCGACGCTGCCGACCCGGCGCAGTTCCGCACACCCTGGTCATGCGAAGTTTTCAAAGCTTCCATGGCCGGTACAAGCACATGCTCCATCGCAGGAGTTGGCTGTATGACCACCCGGTGTTGTGTAGATCCAGACAATCGCTGTTTCCAGAAAGACCAATACTGGGCGGACTGCAAGCCTCACTGCGAGCCGGGCATCCATGAAGAGGATGCGGCGGAGTTTCGCACGCCCTGGCATTGCAGCCTCCTCGATGTGAACGCCTCCGGCGCCTCCTTGGTACGCTTCGAGGCCGTCGCAGCTCCAAAACCCGCCAGAAGCTGCTCCGGCCCTTGGCAGAACTGCCAGAACACGAGGTGGGTAGGGTCTCTTTGTAGGTCCCCACTATGGGTAGTTGTCAAAATTATGATCCCTTTTGAGGTACCCTAAATAATAGGTGCCGTATTATAATAAGGACCCCAAAAGGGACCATAATTTTGACAACCACCCATATAGTACGGCACTCTTGTAGAAAGGACTCTAATTTAGAGAACTACCCAGGTGCTGTTCACAGGAGGGTTACACTTGCTTCGAGAAGGACGAGACCTGGGCGGACTGTCGGCTAGACTGCGCAAAGGGGATCAACTCGGATGATCCAGAGCCTTACCGCACTCCCTGGAAGTGCAACGTTTTGGAGCCCGTGGTTTTCAGGGGCTCATCACTGGAGACCAAAGTCTTAGCACCGGCTGGGTCGCCAGTTGCACGACATGGGAGGCTTTTTGTGAAGGGCAACCAGATACTGGGAGATCATGGCCTTTCGGTGCGCATCCGTGGTGTCTCTCTCTTCTGGTCGCAGTGGGGCTCCAAGTACTGGAATCAGCGCGTCATCCAGTGGCTGCGTGATGATTGGCGGGTTTCCTTGATACGCGCAGCAATGGGAGTCGAGGATGGCGGGTACTTGGATTCACCGGACAGGCACAAGCAAATCGTTGCAGATGTTGTCGATGCTGCCATCCTAGCAGGCCTCTACATCATCATTGACTGGCATGACCATGCAGCTCATCTGCATCAGAAGGAGGCCGCATCCTTCTTCTCAGAAATGGCCCGAATCTACGGGCAGTATCCGAACGTGATCTTTGAGCCATGGAACGAGCCCATTGACCAGTCCTGGAAATACATCGTTCGGCCCTATCATGAGATGATCCTTGGGAAAATCCGCCAGTACAGTCCCAATTTGGTAACAGTTGGATCCACCACCTGGTGCCAGGATGTGGATGTGGCTTCAGAGCAGCCTTTGGATGATCCCAACGTTGCCTACGCTTTGCATTTCTATGCCGGCACGCACCAATCCTCGATCCGAAGGAAGGCGGAGAAGGCTCTGAAGAATGGGGTCGCGCTCTTTGTGACGGAGTGGGGGCTGTGCCAGGCGCATGGCGATGGCTCCCTGAACTTCACTGAAACGGATCTCTGGTTGAAGCTCCTTGAAACCTACAACATCTCTGATGCGAGTTGGGCGGTGAATGACAAGGACGAGAGTTGCGATGCTTTGATTCCCGGCGCAGACTCTGAGGGAGGCTGGGGTCTCGAAGATCTAACTGCCTCCGGACAATATGTACGCAAGTCGCTGGTGGACATGCCTTGGGATTCGACAATCCCTACAAAAGAACCGCTGGACTTTGATGAGAGTGGCTGTGCAATGATGGTTTTAAGTTTCTTTCATGCCGTCGTCTTGCTGGCACTCTTTTGAACGGCACTCTCACCTCAATCCCTTGCATGAATCTTGTGTAGCTACAGAGAATGTACAGGTGCATGAGGACCCTGCGCAGTGTCTTGTCTAAACGTGCTCCACGCGCAGCAATCCGATAGTTCTTGAGTGCGCCGACGGAGCAATAGTTCTCGAGGCAGTGCGGAAAGGACGAGCATGCTTTTCTTGTTGTAGTCCGCGGGAGACCATGGTGCGTCGTAGTGTCCTGGAACCCAGCTGACGATGGTGTTCGAGATGTTGGACGTAGACCAGTAAACGCCTTAAAAGCTGGGCCCAAACTCCCTGACCATCCCCCCAGCCTGTACTAACTTCTAGATTGCGCAAACAAAGCCATCCGAGCCAGAGCCCTCGACGCGAGGTCACGGTGAGAAGATGTCTTATGAGGAGCTCGAGCGATGCTTCGAGGTCCGTGATAGAAATACTGAGTGTTCATGATTATTTTTGTCAGCATTATTGTTCTTCTTCCCAAGATTTTTCATGTTTGAATTAGTATTCTTACTCCTACTACTACTACTACTACTACTACTACTACTACTGCTTCTGCTGCTACTGCTAGTAGTAGTAGTAGTAGTAGTAGTAGTAGTAGTACTACTACTACTGCTACTACTACTACTACTACTACTACTACTACTACTAAGAGATACATGCATGAGAAGAAGCAGAATTATGACAATAAAATTAAAGATCTTAAGAATTTATGCCAATACTGATGTTGATACTAGTAATGATAGCCTCTCTCCCTATCTTTATACATACATACATACATACANNACATACACACACACACATGTATGTATCTATGTATATGCACAGGTGCGCACATACAGTTTCGGATAATAGGTGCACACATACGTATTGATGTAGATATAGATGAGCTATGGATGTAGAGTAGGTATGCACACATATGCCATATGTGAATGCTGATGTCTGAGCATGTGTACCTGTCTTCTTATACTGGTGTATGCACTGCATGCCTGTCTGTGTGCATCCATGCATGAGATAAACCTTCACCAGTCTGTATCGCTGTCAGATGCTAGTGCTGCGCATATAGGGTTTGATACCGACGCATGAGAAGACGTGAGTCTGCGTTCGTGTATTTATTTGTCCAAGTATTTCAGCAGCAAAATGACACGTAGGCGCCAGCGACAACGAACACAAGAACAGGTATATCACGAGATCAAAACAGGAATGACTTGAATTCTTTAACACCAAACACACACGAAACAAACGCTAACTCTGATTCCTAAGCTCCAACCTCCCGCAGCATCTGCAGAAATCCAGGCCCTAAACCCTAAACCGCAGAAATCCTAAACCGCAGAAATCCAGGCCCTGGTGGGAGACTCCTCCATCAACCGGGTCCTCGAGGAGGAGGCCCGCGCTTGCAGGGGTTGAGACTCATGGAAGCTGTACTTGGAGGACCATGGTTTGG